CAGGTGCGGACTATAACAAACACACAGCACCATCTATGCGGATTTTTCAACATTGTTATATATAGCTCAGCAAATGGTGATTGAAGTGACTACTTAATCCTTCGGGTTTGGTCTCATGACTAGCCGTATTTGCGCAGGAATGTTCACATGTTAATTTTATACGTTGATGAGTGTATGACTATTTTTCCGAGACACGACATGCCCAAAATTGGTAAGGTGGTGCAAAGAGCTATTGGCGATAGAGAATCGATGCCCTAGAATGCATGCAGAATATTGTTCACAAAAACCCATCACATGATGGACCTTTCATTGCCAATTGCAAAGCAGGTTTCAATTAATGTATTCCAGACCAATTGATGGGTTTCAGATCAAGTATAGTATAGATGGTGGTAAAACCAAGTGATGACTGGGATATGGGGTACCTCAGGATTCATCTTTGGAATCATTTGATCCTCCGCTCCGGCTAAGGCATTGGCGATCGGTTTGGCTCTGTTGGTTCTTCCTGCTTGGAAATGGTACATCTTGCCCATGCTCCATGGACTCCATGGGGTGGATCATCCCCAGGCCAAAAAAGTGGAAGAAGAAACGGCTCGTTCCAGACGCGTCTTCGGCCGCCTTGGCTCCAGCATGAGTTTGCTGAGTGATGTGACGTCTGGAACGTCTGGGACGTCGGCGTGCAAGGGCAAGTTGACTCGGAGATGTTCAACCTTCAGCCGGGAAGGTTCCGTGAGTTTGGTCATTGCCTAGGAAAACCTTGGGAACTGAGCTGGCCCAATTTTTTTCTTCAACGACCTCTTGGGTCGCTTTGTCAATATTGTCAATTTTCTTTCCAGGGAGTTCCATGCTTCAAAGCGTCAATTTGAGAGCGTTGGACCTGTTGTTGCAATACTAAATCATCCATGGTGCTTGAATATTTTCACCCAAATGAAACGCAACGTACCCCACCATGGATGTTACCAATGTTCTAGCTGCTACTGTATGGATCCCTGGAAATATTGGGGTATGCCGCCCATCGCAATGTCAATGTCGGGCCCCAGTTTTTCCAATTGAATGCATTGGTGGAGCTTAAAGAGGCTACCCTGCCAGACACATGCAAGAGCATGCAAGAGATGCAAGAGCATAGATGTTTGAAATTTCGTAGGAGAGTTTTCGACAGGGGTTGGTAAGCTGATAAATGTCCCATCAAGTGGGTTCCCCATTTGAGATGTTTCATGATGTTTCACAACACGAAAAAGGATATTCTGTAAGTTCTCCCTATGCCCTATGCATGTTGATGTTGAATTGGGACATTTCACCGCACCACCACCCTTATGCTTGTTCCTGCCATTTGTTGTACAGGGGTGGCTCGCAGGGGCGTCGCACTTCTCAGCGGATGCACATCCATCAACAGCCACGATCGGACTATTCTGAAAGGCACACGCCAATTCGCCATGGATAGCAAGCACTGCTTTCACCAGCGGCCACTGTTTGTGGATGATCGTGGTACAAAGGCCGCTGATTGCTTGCGGGGAAGCATCCTCTAAAGGCCAACATTTACTGTAAGGAGGCTTTCTTAGAATGATTTAGAATTCCAAGGGGGAAAGAAATTGAAATCTGCGACGCAACTGTCCACCCAAAATCTTCATTTAGTCCAATGCACAGAGAATGTGCAGACGCAACGTGGACCAGCGAACACGTTGCGACGCGTTGATACGAAAAGGGCCGCAACTCCGAAAAGGGCCGCAACTCGTGGAATCTTTTGGTTTCTATATGAAAAGATATTGGACATAAATATGTGCGGTATTTGTGTCTTGTAAATTCTTTAAATTCATATATCCACACACACGCACATACTATATTCATAATACATAATTATAATATATATATATATATGTATATATATATATATACTTATGATCTAAATACTGTGTATTTATATATATACATATCCTATATATAATGTCATGTCTGTATGTTTGAAATCATGATGCATGCGCACACAGAGACATACATGATATGTGCATGTATATACATATAATATGCACTGCTTTCCTTTTTATGATCATATACGTATAAATTATATATAAATATAATATATTTGCGTGTGTGGGCCCAGGGGGCCCATAATCCTCAATCATCCTTCACCGGCCATGGCTATCGTGGCGGCGGTCCAAGCCCGGCCCCCCCAAGTTTTTAAAAACCACGGCGCGATGGTGGTCCTTCCCGTGCAGCGTCGCCGCCGGGCCGTGCTGCTGGTTCTGGCGGTGGCATTGGCCATAGCGCTAGTACCACATCCCAAAAGCCCGCAAGGAGTGGGGGGATGGGACACAAGAGAGACCTCGAACTTTCATCTGAGGTCTCCCGAAAGACTGTTAGGGATATATAGGAGAAACCGTCTTTTCTACAAATACTATTGTTTTAACCGTCTTTTGAAGGTTAGGGTATAGATATATAGATATATAGATACATATATATATATATAGATATATAGATATATAGATAGATAGATATAGATATGTATATATATATGTAAATAAGGTAAATAGGTATAAATTAAAAGTTAAAATCCTATAAAATCCTCTGTAATTGAGGTTTACTGTTTGGCATATCCCTCGGTTGGGTGATATATTATATATATATAGATAGATATTTGATGGCCTCCAGATGACTGGCTACTGGAATGGCCTAGCATTATCGACTGATCATTGGGTAAACACCACATTTTTTGTAGGTTACGCTTGGTGAAAAACCTGTCGAAGTGAAATCAATAGTCAATATATGTCAATATCACTTGGGAAGGGCGCAAGATGGCGCAAGTCTTGAATTTAATAAGTGGGTCCATTGTGCAGTGTTGTGTTGAGTTATCCCGCACAAGCAGCTTCGCTGCAAGACCTAGAAGTTCAGGTCCTAAATCATCAAGCACCGACACGTGGAATGTAATGTTATAGTAAAGCAGCAGTAAACCATCCCCAATTTTAACACCATCAAAATACGGATGGTTTTGCTTTACCATCCTTTGGGAATAGATCAGGCGTGGATTCTTCTGTGGAACAGGGTTTTCAGCCATATCCGAGACCTCCAGATTGCAGAATGCTGGGTTGCTAATTTTAGCAATAATAAGGCTGGATATTTCCAGATCAATGTAGATAGGGTAGATTGTCTTCTTAGAAAGACGGATGGATGGACACATGGATAGATGCACAGACGGATATCAATATAGATCAATGGATAGATAGATTATTAGAAGGATAGATTTTTAGATGGATAGATAGATATTGTTTTCCTTTTTGATAGATGTGCAGGTGAATGAATAAATCGATGGATGGAAGAATGGACAGATATGATTTTTCATGGATGGTTCCCCTCCGGTAGTTGAGGAATATTTAACACATCTACTATTGAAGATGGCATATATATATATACATATACATATACATAATACACATAGTTGATTTACCCATTCGGAGTTGTGATTCTCCATCAGTGGCCGCTGCCCCAAATGACAGTGACTCAGTGACTCCAGGGCAGGAAGAAGATCAGCAAGAGCATCTTGGTGCTGCTTTCGAGGTGTGATTTTTTCCGGAACTTTTTTGGGGCCCAAAAGGAATTCCACTATTGGAGTGAAGCAATAAACGCACACACCTTTTTTTGCTGGTTATTGTTGAATATATTAATATATGCACACGCACACACGGTCAGTACCTCGCTTAAGCCTACGTTTTTACTCGCTTACGCCTACGTTTGTGAGATATGATGGCAGCGCGGCAGCACCACTAGAAAGTGACATAGAAGTCTTTCAATATGACTGCAACAGGTCCGACAGAGATGATGAGCAGGACATTTTGATTCGATCATATGAATTGCATGTCACTTTGCAGAAGATGTTTCAACGTATCAGGAATATGTCGCAATGTATCAGGAACATGTTTGAACTCACTTGAAGAAGTTGCTTCAACGTATCAGTAACATCTGGCAAGTTACTGTAGGACGAGGTGACAACGTATCAGGAAGGTCGTGCAATTTACTTACAAGTAGGAAGATGTTGCAACGTATCAGGAATGTATTGCAAGCTACTGGACGAAGATGTTGCAAAAAACCAGGAACATCATTCAAGGGACTTGAAGAAGATATGACAACGTCATGCATGGAACATGTCGGAAGTGTCGCGCAGAAGATGTCACAATGCATCAGGAAGGGGTTGCAAGTCATTTGAAGAAGATGCTACAACGTATCAGGAACATCTGGCAAGTTACTGTAAGACGAGGTGACACATGTATCAGGAAGGTCGTGCAATTTACTTACAAGTAGGAAGATGTTGCAACGTATCAGGAATGTATTGCAAGCTACTTGACGAAGATGTTGCAACATAGCAAGAACATCATTCAAGGGACTTGAAGAAGATGTGACAACGTCATGCATGGAACATGGCGGAAGGGCCGCGCAGAAGATGTCACAATGCAGCAGGAACGTGTTGCAAGTCACTCGAAGAGGATGCTACAACGTATCAGGAACAAGTGTCCCCTAAGCCCACCCCAAGTGTCCCCAAGTGTCCCCTAAACCCACCCCAAGTGTCCCCAAGTGTCCCCTAAGCGTCCGCAAGTGTTGAGCTAAAGGGCTGTATCCCTTGGAGTTGGTTCCCTAGGCCTACCCCAAGTGTCCCCAAGTGTCCCCTAAACCCACCCCAAGTGTCCCCAAGTGTCCCCAAGTGTCCCCTAAACCCACCCCAAGTGTCCGTATCCCTTGGAGTTGGTTCCCTAAGCCCACCCCAAGTGTCCCCAAGTGTCCCCAAGTGTCCCCTAAACCCACCCCAAGTGTCCCCAAGTGTCCCCAAGTGTTAACCTAAAGGGCTGTATCCCTTGGAGTTGGTTCCCTAAGCCCACCGCAAGTGTCCCCAAGTGTCCCCTAAACCCACCCCAAGTGTCCCCTAAACCCACCCCAAGTGTCCCCAAGTGTTAACCTAAAGGTCTGTACCCCATGGAGTTAACTCTGAAGTCAACATACAAAATGTCGGCTTATAATGAGTAAAAAAGTCGGCTTAAGTGAGTCTCGGACCCGCACACACACATATATATAGATATATATATATACCCTGAGAATCCCAATGACGCACTTTCCTGGGGAAACCTGCCATGACAGAAAAAACATGTCATTTGACGATTTGACGTTTTGACGCTCTGATTGGCCATTTTTCCGCTCAATGTTCAATGCCGCCATTCTTTCACTTTGTTGATCCTGACAGCAATGTAGGTGAGTAGCTGCAAAGGAAAATAGTGGACAGTGGACAGGACACACCACACACATACACACATATATCTGCTTCCGATACCCTTCTTTGCAGCAAGCATCCTGGCAACGATGGGCCATATGGAGTTGTTGGTCAATAAAGTTCAAAAAAATGAAAAAAACATCCACAAACCCAAAGCTTTGAAGTCCTCATTCTTTGCAACTTGAGCATACAGTGGGGCCATCAGCTTCTGAGGTAGAGCTGGCTTACAGTAATTTCCTGGTTTCTTTTTTTTGAAACACCTGTTTGACCATCAGCGAAGCGGGCACGCTTGTCTGTGGCCTGCTTAAACAACTCAGCAGCTGATGGCGCCATGTTGGAGCACACCTTGAAATCCAGAAAATGTTACAGCAAAATGTGTTTAAAAAAATGCAGTCCATTTTGACGGTATTTTGACGGTAAATGACGTCATTTACCCTTATTTTGACGCATGTTGACGGTATTTTGACGGTCATTGACGGTCACATTTTTCAGCTGCGACCTCTAGAAATCTAACGCGCACATTTGATGAGGATCACGTGTTGAATTCCAGCCCTGAAACCTTTTTTCCTATTCAGATTTCTGAGAACAAGGGAAAAGTGATGAAAAGTGGGTAAAACCTGCTTGTGACCACTTCAACACATACCATGTTGTTTGGCTGGTGTTCGCGCCCCCAGTTTGACACATACCCAAATTAGTTTGAGGGCCTGGCGGGTTTGCAATGCTTTCTTCATACCGAAGGCATGGGCCGCAAAAATTGGAATAATATCCGAACGTAGAATAGAACATATTATCAGAACATATCAGATCCCATTTTTGGTTATGAATTAATTTGACACTGTCTCACCTCCTGTGCCTATCAAGCTATGTTAAATTAAAGAGATTGACAACGTACCTGGGCTGGAACCATCAAATCAGAGGCCTTCAGCAAAGCACAGAGTGATATGGTCACCTTGGAGGTAAAATTAGTCATCCTGGGATGAAAATGAGTCATGACAAAAAAGGGGTCGAAAATGAGTCATCCGACGTTCAGGGTATATATATATATACATAATATGCTAAAATCAATCCAAATTGCTTCCCTGAAGGGTACGACGAGCCCCCTCAATCATTTCACAGACACGCCCTCAGGTATTTGGATGGTAACTAGCAGTTGTTCCAAAATAAGATTATTTACTCAGCGCACATCTTGACCAAAATTCAAACAGTAACGGGTTATCGGTACCACAACTATAGTCCATTTATACATGGGATATGTCCACGTGATTGAAGGGATGATCTTTAACTGGGCGGCTTGCACCCCTCGTTTTTGTTGGTTGACTTTGGTCCATGGGTTTACGAGGAGTAAAACTATGGGATTCCACTGGGGTATAGTGGAATACAACCAGCAATCAGATGCAATCAGTGGGATATCTGGCTTCGAAGACGGTTGCGGGTGCATGTTCACTTAGCACAGTGGCAGTCAACAAGGACATTCCCTGATCCACAATAGCATGTTCAGAAATCAGGTCAGCAAGATGTGGATTCACAATCTCGATAGTAACTGCTTTGACCAACAAACCACACCACTGAGGCACTTCATGGCTGTGGCACAGGAAGTCCACCACGGTCACTTCCACTTCGGCCACTTCGGCCACTCTGGCCACTTCGGCCACTTCGGCCACTTCGGCCACTTCGGCCACGCTAGGGAGGTGGAAACACCCACACTGACACTGGCGCCGGAGGAGGTGGAAGCGAAGTTGGCGGAGGCCGAGAATGCCTCGGTGTCATTGACCTTGCTGGGCGACTTGGATGCAATGGATGCGAAGCCATTCACCGGTTTTATCTCACATGGGAATTAACGAGACTTAATGGCGTTTACTGGGTTGTTTTTTTTGGGGGAAAATTTAAACAACAAAAAATGGGGATGAACTAAGATAGCTTTGAAAACTCACCTCATTTAAGAGATAAATCAGTTTCAAATTGACCATGTTTAGTAACTATATTAAATCTCTTTGGGGTAAGGTAGGATTCATAAGCCAGAATTAAACCACTAGTTTATGATGCTATTGTTGCTATAGTATAGTGATTTATCACTATTGTAAATTTATATCTCCGGGGTTGATTTAACTCTCCGATTTGAGGTGTCCTAAAGATGTTTTTTGCGAACATGGCCCTTTGTCGGTTCCACGTTCGATTTGGGGGGTGTGCATTTCTCACAGTCCACTAAGGCAACCTGTTTGTGTGTGAAATTGAAAAAGACAACAAATCACAACATGTGTATTCAACTTGAGGTTGAACCAGAATGTAGAAGAATTATAATGGAGATATTCGCCAGTATTCGCCAGCGACCACCGATTTCATGAACTTGGAGCATGGGACTCGGAACTGGGAAACTCTGCACAATCAGCGCTTTTCCAACGACACCAATTGTAATAAGATGATTTGGATCCATAAAAACTAGGAACTTCTAGAAAAAATCACCCAACGGATCCTAAAGCCAGTAAAAACTATTCAGATTGCTACCCCCTAAGGCCCTAACGGTTGTTGTTCCTTTAGCACCAGCCCAGTCAAGGGACCTGAGTCTCTGGCAAATGGGAATGGGTCAACCAAGATGACATGACCGATACCCACTGCTTTGCAAAGCAGTGATGGTGATTCAGTTAATTTATGTTATGTTTTTGTTTGCATTCCCGTATGTTCTCATTTGATGGTGATTTATGGCTCTTGGTTGAATTTCTATGGTCAAATTAAATGAAATTTAATGGCACACGTTAAATTGCCCATGCAGGCACCTGTATAACATAGAAGTACTGCGCCATATCAAGCGAGCATGGTTGGATTTCCCCTTCCATATGCCCAAGAAAGGTCAAACCAGACCTTAGAATACCTTGTTTATGGCGGCTTATGGCGGCTTATTTGCCTCCAATTTATTTGATTTCCCCATCTTTTCCCCTGGATCATCTGACGACAAAAAGTGGCCATGTTTTTTCTCCATATTCTCCAGGTTGCAATTTCAACAGAGCCAGGTTGCATGGGCTTTGTGATGGCAACCTTCTATTTGGTGAATTGGCCGGATGAGGACATTCGGCAGATCTCCCTGGAAGTGTAGCTCGACTTGTACTGTTTGGATGGGTGGTATGGGGGCGTTGGGTCGTTTAGTGAAGTCAGATTGGGTGGAATGTCGAAATTGGGCCATGGCAACTCTAACCGTAATTTGACTGCAAAATAATGTTCTGATAATTGTATTGTTTTAGTATAAAAGCTGACATGCTAGGTCAATGCATAAAGTCCTCAAATGGTACTACAAGCAGGCCGGTATAGCCATGGTCGACAGCGATGGCAAAGATCGCAATGTGGTCATGGTTTCCCATGTGCAGATGATCGATGCACCTGCCCAGGATCAACTCCACGATCAGTGTTTTTGGCGCCCTGTTGTTCTTCCACACCTTCGAGGAATTGCTGGAGCACTACGTCTTTCCGGTGCGGCGGCATGGGCGGGTAACAAAGGGGGAAGTGGGGAGCCAGAAAACATGGGCGGAGACAATTTGTTTGTAATTATGCGCGTATACATGCAATTATACTGATACATATATATATATATTATATGAACATATAATCAATTATATGTATAATATATACATATAGCATTTACATATTTATTTTTACATATATACACACAACAATAATATATATATATACATATATATATACACATATATATATACACATATATATATATATTAATTTCCATATATATATATATATATATGTGTGTGTGTAATATCTAAGCATGTGCATATATGCACATAATACGCACGTGTATGCTATGGCTATGACCAAGAAAAACACAATTCTTTGACTAACAAACATGGTAGCAAGTGGCTCATCACAATGTTTTTGGAACGTGGATTTGCCAGGAAAACCTGGGATCAGGTGGGTTTTTGCTTCCATAAATGAGCAACTTTAGTGTCATCTTTTGTTGAATATAGCATGCTTTCCAGCAGAACATAGGTTCAGAAGATTTTGTTTTGCGTTTTTCTTTTGGCAGGGTGGAAAAAATATCTAAGGATCAGCATTTTTGGTCCCCTGGGAGGCTTGTTCGGTTGTTCCTATCACGGTAGGGTCAAAACTGGTCATGTTGACTATTTAATTACTGTAGTTGCTCATTTATTTTTCTGGGGTAAACATATATTGCACGGCCATGCTTGGAGCTGTAGCATGCGGCCGCTGAACCAGGTTAATGTTTTGCGATTTTATAAATATGTTTATTTCCAGGGATCAACTACTGTAGCACGATCGACTAGGATGATCTTGATCCCAAACAACTTTGTTGTACTTGATACTTTTAATGTTCTTTTAGGGTCCTACAACTAAATGAATATGATATAATATCACCATGGTTTGATGTAACTCTCATGATTTTGGGGTTGACTTCAGTGTTCCCACTCTGGGTTTCCAATCCACCTATGAAGTCAAAAAAGATCTGTACCGTGCGGAAAAGAACGTGCTCAAAGCTAGGTCATATGCAGACATATATGAAGACAATCAAATCCTTCAGGCCCAGCATGCCTCAAAAAAGTTGTGGAATGCTTCTTTAGATTGCAGAAAAGCAGGAACCTGATGAAAAATGTGAGTTTCCATCTTGATTAAGGGGTGCCCCAAAAGATAAAAAATGAAAATATAATTGAAAATTATGTGTTTTCTTTCGAAAAGATGGTAGTCACCATTGTACCATCGGAATCTGAAATGGTACCCTAATGTACCCTCTGGTAATCATAGCAATGAAAAAATCAACCAGTTAAATTTTAAACCTCCATTCACCAGATGTTTTCCTATATTTCCCGAGATGTTCAACAAATTTCCCATGATATTCCCCACGAAGACCTCCATTTTCCTTGGGGATTTCCATCTTTGACACCTACATTGCCAGGAAATGTACCATTGGCAGGAGGCCGCTGCAGCGATATAGCATTCCCATTTGAAAAAAAAACACCAGACATACAGATTGAATCAGATTGATATACTGATTCATTATACTGTATATACTGATATATACTGTGTATATATATATATATATCATTTGTCCAGTCTGTTATGTCGCCAACTGGTTGCTTGTTTCAGCTTGTGTTTGTTTTGGAAAACTTCCCATCCGCCAAGCTGGAACTACAAAACATATGGACATGCTTTGCCCAAGTTTAGATCATGGCGAGCATCTTGGGCTTAGACCAAGGGTTGCAGAGGAGACCTTGCTAGCTGTAACGGTTTAACATTGAGAAGGGCTTCTCCCAGACCCACTGGACAAGATAGGCTTGTTTTGTTTGCGTGAAATCAAAGATTTGCCAAGCCCAAGTACTTTCTACCCTGTTTGCAGATTGAACAACATGGTGCTTCTCGGACTATGCTAGGTAGTCGTGTCCATGCTGCAGATGCTTCTGTGGTTCGCCTTGCTTCAGTTGGTCTTAGCCTACTATTCTGGCGCAATTGGCCACAATACAGTTTCATGATGGAATTATCATGGAAATCGGAGGGTGGGCACCCCAAAGGTCCCAGTCGTCGACTCAAAGATGAGAAAGAGGATTCCCTAACAATCATTAACTATAAATGAGTTGCTATATTAGTTGATGCAAAAGGATTTTCAATGGCCATTGTTATCCATTTTTCCGTTTCTATTGTTTCTTCATGTTTGGAGGGGGCTTGAACGTAGCCAATGGTCATTCAATGGTCAGCTGGGTGGTTTGGGTCGGTCTTGAACCTGCTGGCGTCCTTCTGACGTTCGAATCCAGCAATCAGTTGTTTAAGAATGATAGAATGCACGACAATATACATCACCACTGGGTCAACCTTTGTTAGATACGTTAACGTACATTTTTTTTGAAATCAATGATTAACATCTACTAACCAGCTAAAAGTTAGATTTGGCAGGCTTCTAAGATTCACCATGACAATCCATTGCTGTTTCATTGTTTTTGTTCTCGCTCTCCGACCTGAGATCACCTAGTGACATCTCCTGTGCAAAGCCGTGGTGAAGTTGTTTGTGAATGGGGCTGAAATGGACGAATCTGTATCTCATCCCCAAGATTGATTCCCCATCATTTCCCGCACAAACAGTACTTCTTCGGCCTTGTGTAGAAAGTGCCACGGCCCAGGCAGTGAGGCTGCGCAGCGACAGTTTGTCCGTGGCCAAGGCTTGTGGATCCCCCAGAACCAAGGCGTGTCTCATGAAGTCTGCGGAGAGACACCTAGGAGTCACTTGGGATCTGGGGGGATCTGGGGAGATCTGGCTGCGGGAAAGCCATGGGATTACCACCGAAATGGGGTCATCATCCAACAATCGGCCCCAAAAAATTATCCAAAATGACCAGAAAGCCCAGCTTCTTGGGCTACGATTGTTGGAGATCTCGTAAAAACGGAGGTGGCCAATGGAAATTTCCCTGGTTCTGATGCATTGGAGGATTGTGGAGGTCTAATGGAGGTCTGGAGGTTGCATATTTGATGGGTCCCCAGTCGTCACCATTGGACCATTGGATGATTTGGGCTACTCCCCAATGTTAAGACATGTTAAGACCCTTTAGAAAACCTCTATGTTCAAATTAATTTCTGGTTGGTGGTTTGGAACATTTTTCCATATGAGATAATCCTTACCATTGACTTTCATATTTTTCAAGATTGTTAAAACCACCAACCAGATTTTAATGTTCAACGTTAACACATGACACGTTTGAAATTTTGCCTCCCAGAAGGTGGTTCCCCCAGTTTCACTATAGGCTCTATGGATTTTGTTTTGGTAAAATCGAACTAGTTCATGCGGATCACATCAACCAACTTTTTTTTGGATGTGATATTAAGAATTCAATCAAGTATATCTGGGAATATAATTGTACTTAAGATCTCTGAAGATATTTGATGGGATATAGTCATATAGTGCAATATCACCAACTTTGCTAAGGACCTGCGGCAACACCTTGCAAGGGATCAAGATGATAAGATGTTAAGATGTTTATGTTTTTCCAGGGTGGTATACTTCCCGGCGTTCCAAAACTGTAATATTTTGGAGCTGCGCAAAGAACAGTTGAACTACCCTCTGGTAATTTAACATAGCTATGGAAAATCACAATTTTTAATGGGAAAATCCACTATAAATGGTCATTTTCAATAGCTATGTTGGTTTACCAGAGGGTATATATTTCATTTTTTTATCCAAGCTAAACGGATTAGATATTGTTAAACTGAATGTATCGTATTCTGAAATTGGATGTATCGAAGGAATGAGGCTAACATAATTCGAAACACTTAGCCAAACTGGAGATACACTTCCGCCCAGGTCATCAAGATGAACATTTGACGGTAAGAACTGAGGTGCTCAAACCACACTGAAGATGCTCAAAAACACATGGTGTTTATGGGATTTGCCCACATTTTCCCTTGAAAACCAAGCCACAATCCCAAGGTGCCAGGTGATCTTACAGAGATTTCTAGCTATTTCTAGCTATACATCTTTCAGGTCTCTTTTTTTCCACCCAAAAAGGCCTTCTTGAATTTTGGCCATTCGTGGAGCTGAGGTGATCAAGATGAATACCGAGGCCTGGGGCATTTTGTTGGGCCATGCTACCGGCTTTGCCGCCACGAAGGCCTGTTCGCAGCTCCAGCAGGCTGTGCCACGGAACTTCTTCTGCGTGGCCTTGATGCCCTTGGTGTCCTTCGGGTTCCTTGGAGGGGAGATGGTGGTGGATGGCGGGCCTGGGGTTAATTAAGGGTACTGTAGATATCTGTAGATTCTACCCAACCTGGTTATGACTAACAGTTTGCCATGGTTGAGCCATGGCCCTAATCGAAATAGATGGTTTACCTATTCAAAATGGGTGGATTTTCCATGGCTATGTTAGTCATAACCAGATGGTAATCTATAGATCATGGGAAAATCTGTGGAAAAAAACATTGATAAATCATTGGACAATGGATGGACACCTATGGACATCATGGATAAATCATGATAAATGATAAATCGATGCAAAACCTATGGAAATGATGGATGAATCATGGGAACATCGATGGAACATCTATTACCTTTAGATGCCTCTAGGTTACTTACAACTTCAGAACTTCACCTCTTTGTTGTACGGAAAATGGAATATATACATACGAAGCAAAGGTTTTGTTTTGGTAGAGTCAGCAGGTTGGCAGAACTACCTGGATTCGCTGAGGATTATTTAAAGTATTTTTTCCATTGTTTGTTGTCCACCAGTTAGGGCATTTGCTGGACAACAGGCTGCTGGTTTCCAATTCAATATGTACTTCCACATGTGCCTACTGAGAATCTTTTAACATAGATTCACTAAGGCATTCTGAGTTTCCAATATCCCACAACCAAGATATACAGTACCTGGTTGGTGGTTTGGAACCATGGAATTTTATGACTTTCCATATATTTGGGAAGAATAATCCCAACTGACAAACTCATATTTTTCAGAGGGGTAGGTCAACCACCAACCAGGTACTATTTGGGATGATGATCGTCCAATGACTACTGGTTCTTCACGGGGGGAGAACTTCCAACTAGAAGCTGACCAGCGAACGCAGATGTTTCTGGCCCTACCCCCTTAGTGATCCAAAGAGCTCAGGGATCATCCCAGATTGTCAGCTTCAAATTCAAACACACTGCTTAACTACATAGATATAGACTTCCAGTAAAACATTTGACTTATCAATATATACAATATATATATAGAGAGAGAGAGAGATGATCTGGATGTAGAAAAAATCCAGAGTTTACCATGGAAAAGCGCCGTTCAGAAATCCACAATTCGCGTCTCGGCCGCCGAGGATTATCATTCTGGTGTACCGTGCCACCGAGTTGGTGCGCTACAAGATCACCATGAGGGATGGCGAGGATTCGACGAAAATGTCAACGAGAACAGCCTGTAGAGGGCCTAACAATAAACAATCCCCCTTATGTTGATATCTATGTCTAGATGTGTTTTATAGAAAATGAAGCCTGCTTCATATCCATTGCTGATTTTTCCATTGAAACTGGGAATTGTCCATTGTCATGCTGACAATTTCTGGTCATTTCTGGTCCGTTTAGCTTCATGATCTTCACAATTCCCTCCAGACCTCAACCCCCCTAAGTCAGTTGCATCTCTAGCTAATTAGCCGTAGCAGTCATAGTTTGGTTGTACTCAATTGAAATTTACACTGCATTTCCACAAAACATCCGCGGCGTCTCTGAATCGCAGGAGGACGAATTCGAAGAAATTTGGCGCGAGCGCACGGCTGAGACTGAAGATGAGGTGATTGCGCTGGCCGTGTCCTTCTCCATCGTGCAAATGCTTCTCGCGCAAGCGGCCCAAATTGGGCAAGGAGTTGCTGAACACCCTGGAAGCACCATTTATGTCACAGCATCGTGCATCGACACAAAAAATGAATAGAGACTCTGAATGGACATGAACAGAATAGACAAAAATGTCCGGTCGTGTGTTTCAAAACAACACATAACCAATCATATCCATGAATCCTTTTTTCTTAAAATCAATAGGAGATATAGAGATAGAGGAGTATAGCTTACAAGAATAATTGTCACCCATGTTGCTGTTCTTCTCACATGCACTGGTATTGCTAAGAATGTTTCAAATACTAGTGGCTTCAGTGGTACACATTTTTTGGTGCGAAACAGTTAACGCACAACTGCCGTGAACGGCCCATTTTATGTCCATAAATCCGCTGAAGTCAGATCACAGAAACGCAGGGCACGCCCGTTTCATTCCGGGGTTTCCGTGTCAAAACCCCTCAGAACCTAGTTCTAAATGGGATAAGCCACATTGATTATTCGATTTAGCCACGTTACCCCATCATCTCATTGATGGTTCACGCATATTCATATTATCCCGTTTATGTTACTTTACCTTCTGGCAATCTGACTTGGCAATGAAGGATCTGTCTTTTATAATTTGATGAATTACTCGTAGAACACACAATTTAATATATATATATAATCATCATATTAGCAATAGTAATAATAATAATAATGATAATAATAATAATAATATATAGATATATAATTTATATATAATTATATTATATATATACTATGATTTATATATGTAATCGCACATATACATATATACTGCACATATGTGTGCACGTTAATGTGGTCATGAAAGGGATGCTTTCCCCTTGACAGGCATCTGTTGAACCCCCAGCCCCATGTTTCTCATCATTTTCCTCAGATGGCCACAAGTTGGGGGTAAATCCATGTAAATCCCTCAGTTTATGTTCCAAACGTCATGTTCCAAACATTACTGCGGTTGATTGATGCCTTATAGGACCTTTTGTTCTCCATGTTTTTTTCGGGCCTAAACCGATCTGATTTTCCACTGAAATCTTGAGGGGCACCTCGGCGGGATCCAGGTTGCGCTTCGGGGTTTCGGGACACCTGCCCAACGCGGCGGGAGAAGATCCGGAGGGATTCAACTTGCACTCCAACTCCTCTTGCGCCACGGCAGGGGACGAAATGATAGGATGATGGATGAATGATGATGGATGATGGGATGAGGGGTCCGAAATTCGGATGATTTTGGTTCACCGTTATTGGATTGAACGAACAGTGGGAATATGGGGATTGGTTGAGATAAAAAAAAACAGTTGCTTATCAATAAACATGATAATATCACATAAACACTTTGACTTTTCAAAAGAAGCAGTTGTTTGTTTCACCAATGAATTGTGGATGGGGTCAACAAAAAGCCGTCAGAAGACTGGGGTTTATGGTTATTTCTAGCCATCAGCTTCCGGCAATAACATGTCTAGCTTGGAAATTCTCGCACTAAATGGCCATTTCACTGGGAGAATCATCTATAAATGGGGAGGGTTACCGGATGGTAACCAGCCATTTGCGGGGTACCCTGATTTCGATCCATTATGTGCAATGGTAAAGACATGGGGTACTTTGCTACGGTCATCCTCTCGTGAATAGGGCTTAAACCTGATGGGGGTGAATCTGAGCAAACTACAGCATCTTCACAGCGGCGTGGGGAAAGCGATTATTCATAAGGGAAATCATCCCTAAAATAGCGTTTCTTAGTTATTTGTGGTAATTTGCCCAGATAAATAATATGTATAACGACTAGGATGTATAGATAGTAACATGGATGTCGTTTTAGCTAGATTATATACTCGAATGACAGAATTGATACCAAAGATGAATGTAACAACTGATGTTCTGAAACAGACTTTCACAAGATCGGAAAGGGTCAACCCAGGAGGAATTTTAATGATATTTAGTTTAATTTATATATTGTAATTGTAGATATTGTTATGTAGCATGTTCATTACACAAGAATTGAATCTCTTCCCAGTGTTATTACTTTTTGCTTCAGAATTCTAGGATCTTGTGACCTTGCGATTGCACACAGATACCTATATGCATATGTTTTTCTTGTTCGCACAACCAGCACCAACGCATTTCGATCTAGATCTAGATTCAAAATGGCAAGTGCTAAGTGCTGAGAAATAATGGCTATTCAATCAATCGGATGAACAACATAGATGATCCATGGTTTCTGCATTTTGCGGGCCCTCAAATGCTTTTGAGATATGAAGACAATAACTTGGTGCTAGTCAATGCAAGCAGGCTTATCCTGCCCAAAAGTGACCGAAATACGATCGATTCCTTGTGGCTCCATTTTTTGTGGCACGTCATCCCTGGGTGGCCCAGCACAGGAACGGGCCCAAGTCCAGACCCCCCAAAAAGTGTGTTTTTTTTCTCCCCTGTAATACTGTAAACTAACATAGGTGTGGAAAACATAGCTGGCTGGTGGTTTGGAACATTTTTTATGTTCCATAATTTGTGGGATAATCCTTCCCATTGACTAATTTTTCAAGATGGTTAAAACCACCAACCAGATAGGTATTTGTTCACATCCTAAGAAACTGGGGGAAGCCATAGTGCCAACATGTTTTTCGCTGTGATGGTTGAAACCCCAGTTATTTTTCAAGATAGTTACCATCTGGTTATTTAACATAGCCATGGAAAATCACCATTTTTAATAGGTAGACCATCTATAAATGGGCCATTTTCCATGGCTATTTTAAATAACCAGATGGTATATGTTCCCAAGAAACAGGTTTCCCCATGAGATGCCGTTGTGAAATCACGGCCCCCAGGTGCCTTGTTGCTCCTGGTGGGCTTGGTGCCGGGCGTTGCTGATGTGGTGACCGGGCGTTGATGATGGTTTTCTCCATGGGAAAGGGATGCTTCATGTCAATTTAAAAGGAAAACAACACATTTTTTCTAGAATATCATGGGGTTATTAACCAATGCTACAGCAATTTGAGGGCGTGTGAAAAATGAGGTATAACCTCCCAAATGGTAATTCACTAGGGGAAAAGATGGTGAAGCGTTGATTTTTGAGAACCCAATTTTCAGACAAAATCATATCTTATTGATGTTCAAACGAAGAGATGGGAGGATGACCCCCCCAATGACGATTATTTCTTTGGGGAGTCGCTCAACACGCATAAATATTATATATAGTATGCGTATATATATATATATAATTATATATATGTATGTATATATATATATATTATATATATAAATAAACAATATGCATGAATATTGACCTATGTGCCTATATGTTGCACATATAATGTAAAGAGAGGGAAAGAGAAACTGGGAACCCAAAGATTCCACAGTAAACCGAACGAGTTGATGGCTCGTGTTCGGCAGCTGACCACTTGTGCTGGGGGTAATGGCCCAACCCATACCATGGTTGGTTTGATCCCACCAGAATGCAAGATCTTGGGCCGTCCAAAAACCGGGGGATATTCCAAGTTGCGGCTATTTTTTTGAATAGGAAACGGAAGATGATACTGTTAACCGTTGAATTTTGCTGGGAATGTGTGTAAAGCAACAGTTACTAGTAAACCATCCCCAATGTTGACCTTGATATAGGTGGCTGATTGGTGGTTGGGAACATGAATTTTATGACTGTCCATATGTTGGGAATATCATCATCCCAACTGACGAACTCCATGATTTTTCAGAGGGCTAGGTCACCACCAAGCAGTATATTTATAAACCATCATTAACCATATAATTAATAACAAATTATATTAATCATTAATATTAACAGTATATTAACCGCGATGGTAGGTTCATGATTGCCTTAATTACTGACCTTGCTTCATTTCCAGGGCCAGGTTTGTCAAAACCGGAGCCAGGTGCGAGTCCTCTACACCCGCAATGCCAAGACTTTCACAAGGATCGTCAGTGGTGAAGGCCAGGGAAGCTCGTGAAATTTTGTTCCATGACTTTTCTGGAGATACCCTCTCGGATTGGTGGTTTGGAACATGAATTTGATTTTCCATATATTGGGAATAATCATCCCAACTGACTAATATCTTTCAGAGGGGTTGAAACCACCAACCAGCTCTGGTAGACAGAGAAAAAGCTATGGAAAATGGCCATAGAAATCGTGGATTTACCCATTAAAAATAGTGATGTTCCATAGTTATGTAAACGTTTACCAGAGGGTATCTCCATTTGCTTCAATCATTTGCCACATTGAAATGATTCGAAATGCTCATTTTTGGGGGAAATTCCCAGATTTGAATCATTTGCAACATTGAAATGCGAGTTTTTTGGGGGATTTCCCAGCCATATCTAGCAATGTTTGATTACCATCCGAGGATGGCTAGAAATCTCAGCGACAGTCACCTGTCACGTCGCGTCAGGGGAGGATGAGGTGCCCAGGAGCAGGAACTGGTGTGAGGGTGACTTGGTTCAGGGCTTGGGGACTGAGGTGATTTTTCATGATTTTTATATATTTTTATGGCCACCATGGGATAATAAACCACCGGGAAATGTTGGGATGATTTGATGGGAGTTGGGGGATATTTTGGAGATACACCGCCCCTAGGGTGGGTGAAAGCATGTGAATCTCCAGAGCTTTCCTATGTGGTCAAATCGTATTTCTCGGCACATGACTTCATCAAAAAGGCCGCAGATCCTCGGATGGTTGTTTGCCCTCAACTTTGCGCATGACATGTTGTTTTTGGATTTCTTTTGGCCAGTCAATTCGTGTTTGTGGCCGGTGTTCACCAACAACGGGTCAAGGGGCTGAGGAATTTCATCCATGAGCTTCGCTTGGTGCATTCACTTTGCGGCAGCCTTTTGGCGGGAAAGGGCCTGAACCAATGGAATCACTTTGGGCCTGAAAAAAAACACAGATTTCGAGATTCTTGCAGTGATATATCGATAATTAATGTCTATGTATATATATATATACACATACATATATATATACATACATATCCGTGTGTATGTGTATATATATATATACACACGGTATATTTTTTTTTTGTGTGTTTATTGATTGTTGTTTCAAAGGTGCACAGAAGTATATAAGAAAACCATGCGATGTTTTGGTACCAAGTTCTGATGAATACCAACAAGTGAAGCCTACCCAGGCACTAGGAGTTTGCTCTTCAGTAAGCACTAACCCTGGCCCATCTAAGCCCGGCTTCTATGCTGGCTTAATTGTTTCTACCAGTACTGGAGTTGTAGCACATCGATATCAGTACATAGATAGATAAGATGAAGTAGTTGTGGATGTTGATATTAAAATTTAACTTAATAAATACATGATAAATGATTATATAATTGGGTAAATGAATGCAGACATATGTATATATACTGTATGTATATATATATATATATATATGTGCACATTATATACATATATATATATTATATACATGCATTTATATTTATATTTATAAGTAGTTATAATTCTATATGTATATATATATGCTTATACCCATCGCTTCAACTAGCTATATGTTCTGATTTCGCTGGTTTCAGTTGACCACCAGGGACGGAGAATGATGAGACCCCTGATGTATTCAGGGCTGTATAACAGGCCCCATGCAGACGAAATCACGCAATGATCTGGGTAAATATATAGTGACCTCACTGTGACTGAACCTTGGAATCACGATTCGGATTGGCGGAATCACCCCCAAATGGCCGCAAATTTCAGGTTAGTGAAGTAATATAATGCAATTTGCCCAGATAAATGTCCTTTTCCCAGCAGTTGCCACATGACCATCCCCCCGCCGATCAGATCGCAGTGGGTATGGTCATTGGGTAAATCATTGGGTACATGTGCTATGGCAGCTATAGGCGTTGTGCTCCGTTTCCTGGATCATTTTCCTGTCAAAAAAAAACCAGATCCGTGTTATCACCGATGTTCACATGGTGAATACCAGAGATTGTCATGTGAAAAAAGATCTTTTACTTACAGGGTTGGATTCTCATTTTAGTGGTCAATGCACCAAGTTCAATGATTAGATCTAATTTTGATCATAAAATCCATGATGTTCAGTGGTTAAATCCTGAATTGTCATGGTCAAATTCCTGATCTGCAACAGTTAAATCCGGTTTTTGAAATCCCTACAACATTACGTGCAGTTATATATTTATTGCAAACCATAGAATTCGCCTAGTTTATTCAACAGACTTCAAGTCTATCATACATTTGCTACAAAACCCATGAACACCCCAATTTTTCATGGTGGAAATTGGTTCAATCCACCATTTTCCCCATGGTTTCCCCATGGCAGAACTGCCAAGGACTGGTGGATTGCGTCCCATCTTCACCTGGACGGCTCCATGAAGGCCGTGTTGTCGGCCTTGTCGGTCACCGCGGTGGCCTTCGTGGTGATCTTCGGCTTGGATAAGGTGGCCGAGCCTTGGCGGCCTCGGCGAGCCGGGAAGCCATGGCTGGTTATGGCTGGTTTAGTCATGGGAGTACCGGTAGTTTGCCAATTTTTATGGGGATTTTGGCTTGGCTTAATGGAATTTACTGTACTATCTTTGGGATATATGATAATTACTCTTCAATTTTTCAATGTGAACATTTTTTGTGGAATATCATTTTTTCGAAAATCAGATGAACATGGGTGATGACTAGGGGTACCCCCATTTCAGGAAAGTTCCATATCTGACCATGGCTATGGGAAGATTTTTGTTGAGGGATATACCGTTGATATACCCTATGGTTGTTTCAATTACATAGCTATGGAAAACCGCGATATTTGATCGGTCAAAAACGAGTACTTCAAATCGGTTGCTCTCAAGGGTTAGTAAAGTGCACTAACCAGCCAAAAGTTAGATGGGAATATTTCATGGGATATAGGAAAAACATGAAATAACAAATACTAAGAATCTGATCCTTGGGGTGTATCTGAAAATGCTGTAGTGTCACCCAGCTTTTCAGACAACCCTATATAGCGAGGTGAGGCGTGAGTTCGGAATTGCTAAGTTGGTCCTAATTAATAATTCATTCCAATTTCACACTATGGTTTCCGGCAATTACACCTATAGTATTCATGGGGTCTAAAAAACAAACTTATTGAGGGGTGACCGCCTTGTAACTATTTTTGATCTGCAAAACCAAGGCACAGTTTTGCAAGGTTCACCGTCTCACCTTGCAGTGCCTTCCATTTCTTAGAAAGATTGCCCCCACGCGTGAGCTGCCCTTTACAAAGGTGGCAACTTGCTGCCCTGCAGATGATACATGGTGTGAGTGTGGTGCAAAGCTTTGTGTATTTGGCTGCCCAGACACGTGTTGGCGCCCTTGGGAATACATTCCCTCATCGCCTTCTCTTGGCCACCTTGTAACTAATATCGTAATAACTCTCAAAGAAAGCATCGGTTAAGGTGGCAGAGCCAGGGGGGCTTTGCTGAAGCTTCTTTTTTCTCATAAAATATGCCATCAATGTGAGGCCCCCAAGATAGCTAAGTTGGTTTATAACTCCAATAACTATGGTTTATGGTACTTATAACTATAGTTACTGGGGCTTATAAACCAACTTATCACTGGGGGGGGCACATTGATTGGATAGTCCATTACAAATGGTGAATCTACTGGAAAGAGAGCCTTGGCGAGCAGAGGTGGGCTCCTGAAACAGACATCTAACGAGGGGACCCTACTTGTGAAGTTTTTGCAAACATGAAGGCATAAGCCCGCCGAGAATCAACCACATATATAGTGTCTATACATTATATATATATATGTGTGTGTGTGTATTCAGATCATATCACGTCATTATGACAGCCCCGAGAATCCCCACCTCACCTTCACCCCAAACCATCCCAAACCTCAATCATGTGAAATCCTCATTTTAAGCCTAATTTCTCCACGGTTCTGGCTAACGTATGAGGACAGCCACTTTGACGACGAGGAAGTGCACCGTGCCTTGCGGGGCATGATTGCAGGACTTGGCCTTCTCGCATCTCGGAGCTGCCATTAGTTCTTGGGTGGTTTCCGAAGGTTTCCAAATGCCTGCAGTTCCACTTCATTTGTGTATATACATATATACCATGTGGTGAACCAGCACACGGAAATCTGTGGGGGTTCCCTAGGTAAATGATCTCTGGATGGTGGATTCTCCCATATCTATCTTAAGGTAATGCAGTGTAGCCAGATTTACAGGGGTTATATTAAGTTATATCCCAATTTTTAGGGCAATGACCATAGATGGATCCATTAACACCCCCAGGCGCACCCCCAAGGGAATCTAGTTTGTGCTAATAAAAGATGAGAAACGGAAATTCCCCTCTGCACATTCAGTGATTTCTAGATATTTCTGTATACATACCGTAACGTTCAAAGGGGTGCCTAATGAATTTCAAAAATTGAGATTCTTAAGGGGTGCCTAATGGACACCCCTTAGCGTTCATGGAGATGGCACACTAGAAAATGATTAGTTGCTAGTTCCAGCCCGAAATCTTCCAATCCTACCCGCGTGGCATCCGTGGTGCACCTGGCTTAATTTTTGGCGAGAAGAAATGCATGTGTGTCACGAAATGACACGCGCAGGGGTTGTCCAAAAAGCACCCGACACGTTTCTAAGGGGTTCTTATTGGACACCCGTTTGCCTAACGGGTGCTTATTGGACACCCCCTACCGACCGACACGACCTGCAATGACACGCAATGATACGCATGTTTTTGTTGATTTCTAAGAAAAACGCGCAACCCCTTTTGACCAACAAGACACGGCCATGGCACGAAATGACACGCATTTCTGGAAGCAAACGTGGGGAAATCAAAGAAAAATGCACATACTCCTATGAATACCATTGAATACCTCATTATTTATTGGTAGTTCAGGACCTTAATTAAGGGGTGCCTAATGGACACCGGTGCTAAGGGGTGCTTATTTGACACCCGTTTGGACATCCTGGTATACATATAGATATACATACACGATCATACACGAATATATGCATATATATATTATATATATTATATTATATATATATATAAATAATATCAAATACCTATTTATTTATAGACAGATTGTGGCATGATTTTAACATATTTTAACCATATGTTCCCCATTCGTCTTGGTGATCTTAGCACTTCGCCATGATTCAGGTCGGTTTCTCCTGGGAGCGTTGCTTCGACGCCTCCTTGGAGGGCCTCGCCAATCACCGCTACTTCGGGACCGTGCCACCGGCCATCTCGCGGGTAGTACCCAGGCGGCAATGGAACGAATTCCTGGCGAACACAGCGGATCCAAGGCTGGTGAGTAACTGGGAGCCATCAAAAAAAACATAAGCCACGAAATGGGGACTTACGAGAAAAGCACATTTATATGATATTTATTCACCACGATTCGTGGGATGATCCTCGCACAGTTTGTTTATAACTAGGCCCACCGCCCGTAGGGCGGTGCGGGGTGCGGGATAAGTGTGGAGAATTTGCATTGCGATGAGATTGGTGAATGATAATTAGTGGACACATCTATGGAAGAGTGAGATTCTGAATGGTAAACTGGTTGGTGGTTTCAAACATGTTTATATTTTCCACAATATATATATGGATATATATATGGGATAATCCTTCCCATTGACTTATATTTATCAAGATGGTTAAAACCACCAACCAGGTAAATGTCCATAAATTTCTCCAAAAGGTTTTGTTTTTCGCAAAACATTGGGAATAAAAGGGTGAGTTGGCCATTTATTGCATTTATTGGGGGAACATATGGATTTGACCAGAAACATTTAGCTCGGGTATTTAACCATCAAAGCTGCTTGACTTAAGCAGGCAAAAATGGTGGTATCATTGGGGATACAAGGGGAATAAAGAAGTAATCGCCTCCTTATTCAGAGTTCCCACCACTTGATCAACACATGATGAGCTCAGGCAAAAGATTGGAGAAGTGACACGTTGACAGCTAGTTGCCTTTTCTTTAGGCATCCGAATTCCCTCGGTTCATTGCGAGATTTATGAACTGGTCATGGGAATGCCGTTCTCAACCAACCAGAACAGGGATGACCGAGCAGTTTTGCCAACAAAGTTGCTAGCAATGTATAAACGTGGGCTTTATCGTAACATGTTCAAAATGTTTGTTCTCCCAGCGGAACCCAGAAGGAGTTCTACCTGTGGAAGAATGAATGTGGATGATTCTTTTCTTTACCATCAAGAGAAAGGACATCACAAACAATGGATCACACACAATTTTATATAAAGGATCATCCACAAGGGCATCCAACCTCAGCGGAAACTCCACATGTGTTTTTCCCCCTTTCGAGAGATGATATGCTTATTTTTCGGATGCCCATTACGAGATGAATGACCAGACCCCCACATACCATGTTTTCACCATGGAACAGATGTATGTGCCATGGTCAAAAGTTGCACCCATAGAAGCGGGTTTCCATACCCCCATTGATAGTAATCCTTCCCCGCAATACTAAACGTCCCCCCCAAACAATAAACACCTCAGATAGTTTTATATGTTTTTATTATCAGGGGAGTATTTATATATTTTTAGGGAACCCTAATAATAAATTGAAACCCTTATATAATTAAAAAAACATTTGTTTCGATTTCAACATCAATTAACGCCGTTAAAATATTGCTAAAAATTGGATTTCGACGCGGACTCTATTAATAAATTGAAACAATTAATAACAAGAAATAACATTTTCACGGACCCTAATAATAAACACCCCAGGGTTAACTAGTTTTTATTATTAAGGGGTGAGACCCACAAATGGTAGCTTTATTTTTAAATTGTTTCTAAAGGGTACCAATTAAAAGTCAAATTGGCCAACCTGAAATTTTCCAAAATTAGAGATGGAGCCTAGTTTTTATTTGGGGGGGTTAGTAATAGGGGGAAGGGATTAGTCAATATACATTTAACATACATACCCACTATAAGAAAACCGTATCGGATATAGACTCAGTCTCTTGGTAATTAGTATATACATGTAATATATATCCCATAGGATCCATGTATGCTATATATGGTAACATTTATCATCAATATACCCCAAATGTTAGCATATATACCATACATGGATCCTATGGGTATATATATATGCGCATACGTAATCCCCCCCGAAACTCCTCAAAATTCCCCACCTTGGGGCGAATCCGCTGTGCGTGGCGCCTTTTTCCCGAGGCACTAGCCTTTGGTTTGGCCCTGATGGTTCTTCCGGCTTGGAAATGGTATATTTTGCCCATGCTCCATGAAGCCCACGAAGGGCATGAAGATTATGCTACTTGGAAAAAGATGTTTCGATGAAACCGATGAAACCCTGGTTGGTGGTTTGGAACAGTTTTTATTTTCCATTTCACGTATGGAATATTTATCCCAACTGACTGATATTTTTCAAGATTGTTAAAACCACCAACCAGAACCCCCTTTTTGATCCACCTTTTTGATCCTGGGACATCGGTCCTGGGATCCTGGGAGATGCCGTTGTGAAGGACACAGACCCCCCGTTTTCAGCGAATCTCCAAGGCAAGCACGGTGAAAGAAGTGGAGGAGGAGGCTCGTTCCAGACCGCGCTTATTCGGCCGATTGGGATCCAGCATGACCATGATCAGTGATGAGACTCTTGGCCAGCAACTTTTTGGTTGAACTCTTTCTAATCCACCAGAACTGGGGAATCGGGCATATGTTGTGGTTTTTTGAATGATCTCCTTTAATCAAGTCTAAGGACCGCCAAGAGCAAATTGAACCGGAGATGTTCATCAACCTTCAGCCGAGAAGGTTCAGTAAATCTGCTCACTGCCTAAAAGACATGCCGATCGGCAGTGATGCACCCCAGAGTTCCAGCCCGGCAGGGCGCACAGTGCATTTTCGTCTCCAAATCAAATGTGGGGTTCGGAACTTTGCACATGTGGTTCATCCTGCTAGTCGTTTGACCCAATTTGGGAGCACACTGAGCAGCAAAGGATTGTATGGTGTAACACGGTGTAACGGATCCCCGGAATCCTGGAGATCTTGGGGTATGCCGCCATGGCCTGCGCAACCTCAACAATCTCGCGCCCATTTGCGCACCTGTTTTCCATTGTCCTAATTCGATGCATACCTTTTGTGCTGAAAGCGCACTGGCGGCAGAGCTTAAAGAAACTGCCCTGTCAGACGTAGATGCAGTAGACATAGATGTTTGACATTTAGACCGTGGATGGTAAAAACATGTCCAATATCATTTGGGAAATGTTTCGATGTTTTGTTGTTTCCCCACTTGGTTCATTTTGATTATCTCCCAAAGGGAAAACGATGCAAAGCTGTTGGCCATGCTGCAATGATGTCCCAGCAGTTTGGTGTTTTGTAACGCGACATTTTACCATCCATTTTTATTTGTTTTAGTCCTCCATGAGGCGCATTGTGTCGCAGTTTTCGACGTCTCAATCTTGTGATGTCGATGTCGGTGTTCGGCATTGGTCTTGCAACGGTCATTTGAAAGTTGACATTCTCTATTCAACAAACTTGGCAACCAAAATTCTTTTCGGCACAGATGCATCTGGAAAAAATGGACAAAATAATGGCCACTCTGCACTCTGCACTTCTACTTGGCAATCATTGACGTCACATCCCGGAATATCCCAGAATATTATTTTATTGGGTAAATCATTGATAATAATTGTAGAATTCTTGTTCTTTTAGTATGATGATAAGTTTTATATTTTTTGAAAGATCCGGTCAGATGGCACCTGCAAATAGTCAGACAATGTTTGTTGCCAGACAGAAAGTCATGGAGGACACCCACCATCCACGAAGATTTCGAGAAACACGTCAATTTGCCGTGATGTCTTCGTGAATGGCTTGCTTGAGGCAGAAGGGTGGTGGTTTTGATAGACATGTTTTTTATGTCAATGTTGAAGGGTGTAAATCATTGAGCAGTCTCAGAAACGCCTCACCATTAGAATATGGTAGGGGGACTCATCGAAAGGCTAACGTTCAACCAATGCAACGATGAATGAATTTGCCCGGAAGCTTTGCGACACGAGACAGCTGCGACCCCAGTTTTGATGTTCTTCCACATGCATCGCTCACTGAATTCGCTCCGCGGCGTCGACCAGATTATGTAAATACGTTGCTCCAAAAAAGGCCGACAGCATGAGGGCTTGTTGGTTGGTTTGATCAGCTTGAAATTATGGAAAATTTATGAAAATCTTTAAAATTCAACTAGTTGGTGGTTTTAAGTTTCAACTCTTTCCAGGTATGTTCCGCTTTTACAGATTCACCTTTCTATCTCTACTTGGGATGACCGATAACCCTAGATTGGGCAACCAGTTTTTTCGCCAGATACTGGCTTGCGGCTCTTGAAATCTCTCCGTTGAGAACGCTGATATGAAAAGATTGTGCAAGTATAGAGCACACCTGCATATGTATTAAACATTATTAAATTACCTATATCTAGTGTATACATATATATAATGTTGACCCCGGATTAATAACCCCCCCCCCTATAGGTCAACTAGGTCAACAAGGTCCAGTGAGGAGGTCCAAAAACCGAACCCCCCAAATAATGTGACCATTCATTCATCCATAAACGATTATTATAAGATCCCTATGGGAAAAGATTGGAAAACCAATGATAAACCATCAGATTCCTATAAGAAAAGATGAGAAAATCTATGATAAACCATCAGATTCCTATGAGAAAAGATGAGAAAATCTATGATAAACCATCAGATTCCTATAAGAAAAGATGAGAAAATCTATGATAAACCATCAGATTCCTATAAGAAAAGATGAGAAAATCTATGAGAAACCATCAGATTCCTATGAGAAAAGATGAGAAAACCTATGATAAACCATCAGATTCCTATGAGAAAAGATGAGAAAACCTATGATAAACCATCAGATTCCTATGAGAAAAGATGAGAAAACCTATGATAAACCATCAGATTCCTATGAGAAAAGATGAGAAAACCTATGCTAAACCATCAGATTCCTATGAGAAAAGATGAGAAAACCTATGATAAACCATCAGGTTCCTATGAGAAAAGATGAGAAAACCTATGGTAAACCATCAGATTCCTACAAGAAAAGATGAGAAAACCTATGGTAAACCATCAGATTCCGATGAGAAAAGATAAGAAAACCTATGGTAAACCATCAGATTCCTATGAGAAAAGATGAGAAAACCTATGATAAACCATCAGATTCCTATGAGAAAAGATGAGAAAACCTATCGTAAACCATGGGATTCCCATGAGAAAAGATGAGGAAACATATGTAATACCATCAGATTCCTATGAGAAAAGATGAGAAAACCTATGATAAACCATCAGATTCCTATGAGAAAAGATGAGAAAACCTATGATAAACCATCAGATTCCTATGAGAAAAGATGAGAAAACCTATGATAAACCATCAGGTTCCTATGAGAAAAGATGAGAAAACCTATGGTAAACCATCAGATTCCTATGAGGGAACGTGAGGAAACCACGCAAAAACCATCAGATTCCTATGGGAAAAGGTTAGACAACTAGTGGAAAACTATCAGGTTCCTATGGAGAAAAAAGAAAACCCTTGGTAAACCATAAGGTTCCTATGGAGAAAGAATAGAAATTAAATGGTAAACCATCAGAATCCCATGAGGAATGACAGAGAGTCAGTCACCTCTTCCCAACATGATGAGCCAACCCACAAAAAACCTCTGAAACCAATGTGTTTGGCAATAGCGCGGCTTCGACCTAATGAAAGCACAGCTCTTGCAATGAAAGAGAGTCACCTCTTCCCAACATGATGAGCCAACCCGCAAAAAACCTCTGAAACCAGTGTGTTTGGCAATAGTGCGACTTCGACCTACTGAAAGCACAGCTCTTGCAATGAAAGAAGGCCACCTCTTCCCAACATGATGAGCCAACCCACAAAAAACCTCTGAAACCAGTGTGTTTGGCAATAGCGTGGCTTCGACCTAATGAAAGCACAGTTCTTGCAATGAAAGAGAGTCACCTCTTCCCAACATGATGAGCCAACCCACAAAAAACATCTGAAACCAGTGTGTTTGGCATTAGCGCGGCTTCGACCTAATGAAAGCACAGCTCTTGCAATGAAAGAGAGTCACCTCTTCCCAACATGATGAGCCAACCCACAAAAAACCTCTGAAACCAGTGTGCTGGCAATAGTGCGGCTTCGACGTGCGGAAAGCACAACTCTGGCAATGAAAGAAAGCCACCGTGAAGTAATTAGAGGCAATGTCCAGAAGCAGGCAAAGGTAGCTAACATAACAGCAAGACATTGGCAGAGAAAGACGCACAACACACAAGCATTCAAGCCAGCTGTGTGCCACCCCCGGGCTGCAAGACGCACCCTCCGGGAATCTAAGCCGCTGTGTGCCACCCCCGGGCTGCAAGACGCACCCTCCGGGAATCTAAGCCGCTGTGTGCCACCCCCGGGCTGCAAGACGCACCCTCCGGGAATCGAACCTGGGTCCATCGGCCCAAAGCCTATTCA